GGGTTGAGATGCCGGCAAGTGTGAGAGTCTGTGCGGATATGACTGCTTGCGTGGGTGCGCGGCTTGGCGGCCGCACGTGCCAGCCGCAAAGGTGGCCTTGAAACGGCTGGGAGGGGCTGTGGGGGGCGAACAGGCTACTTCCAACCAGCAGGGGCGCGGCGTTGCGCTATCTCCTCCTGCCAGCTGCCCGGCCGGCCCTGCCTGCCTGCAAGCAAGCACACCGCCTTACCTTGAGGGTGTAGACAAACTCCTCCTTCAGCTTCTTGAGCTGCAGCTTGGGGCTGGCAAATGTGGGGGCGGGAGGCAGGGGCAGCAGAAACAGGGTACAGTGGGATGAGTGCAGCAAAAGGCGGCCACCACAGGGCGTCTCCCGAGGGCCAGAGACGCGCCTCGCACTGCCGGCTGCAGCAGCGCGGGCGACGCAACTGCGATTGCGCGCCGTGACTGTGCAGAGGCGCGCGCGGCGACCGACCTCTCCAAGAGCCGCCGCGAGTTGCCAAACACGATCAGGTGGTAAGGGCGTTCCGCTGACAGCGCAAACTCAGTGAACAGGGCCTCGTCAAACGTGATGAGCTTGTCCTTGGCTGCGGCCTCCAGCTGCTGGAGTTTTGAGACCTGCAAACAGGGGTGGCCGTGCGATGTTGGGCAGGGGGCACAGGGGGTGGGGCAGCAGCGCAGCAGAGGTCCGCCACGTGCCACGCAGGTGGCCACTGCCTCTGCTAATTGTCGAGCGTGGGTGCTTATTGCTTCAAGTGCAATGTTTGGACGGCTTCATGGTTGAGAATCCCCATGGTGCAGGTCGTATAGTGCCAAAAACATGAAAGCTGCGTCCCTTTGAAGTGCAGAGCGAGCCCCACCCACCCTCGGGTCTGCCGCAGCCATGCCTACGAGCAGCGCTGCTGCCAGGCACACCGCTGTCCATGCGCGCCACTGCATGGTCAAGGTCCCGCCGCCGCGGCCGGCGATCCTGCTGCAAATGCTGCTGTTGCGCGGCCTAACACAACCGCGCCTCCTGTGGTTTGCTAGTCGGGCTCTCCCGGGATGTTCTTGCAATGGATCTCTGTATGTTGTAAGTGCAGTACACTCCTTCACACCTGTCTTACACGGCCAGGCCTAGCGCTCCGGATCAAGTTGTTCAGAAGTGATCTGGCAACAAAGGGATCAAAACGCCTCAGCCTGACACCGGATACGTCACCAGCCACCTATACGATATCAGCATACCCACCTTCGGCGCGATCAAGCCGAACAGGCCTAGTGGGAGCAAGAAAGCCAGAGCGTCAGCAACACCAGTCGTTTCGTCCTTTGTCCCCTTTATCACATCCTACATTGTGGCACTGTTGCGCTTGCATCCTCCTTCAACTCACAAGCCGCCGCGGGACTCGGCGCGATCTTGCGCAAGACGTGCACGTTCGCTCGCCAGGACCTGAATCGTCTTCAAATAGCTGAGTAGCCATGGCCACCGCGGCTGAGGTGCTCAAGTCGCACACGCCGGTGGAGACGGTGGTGCGTACAGTGCAGCTCGATGGCCAGGTCGTGCTCAAAATAATGCAGCACTGCGATGGGGCCTTGCCAAACATCGTGACGGGGCAGCTGCTGGGTCTGGACGTCGGCGCGATGCTGGAGGTCACCGACTGCTTCCCGTTCCCGGTGTGCTGTCTGCCGCCGCTGCGCCGCTGCTTGTCATGGCAGCTGCGCTCGCTGCCTTGAATTGCAGGGTCTTTTCAGTCATGCTCCAGGGCAACGGTCTGCTGCTCAAGGGTTGCCTAGTCTCTTGCAAGCGGGCGCGCCTGCCCGCCGAGCCGCCCAGCATGGGTAACCCCTTGCAGCCGCCCAGCCGCAAGTCGTACCCGCCCCTTGCCACGGCTGCTGACCTTTAGGGCGGCGACGACGAGAGCCTCGACGAGGCTGCGGGTGCCAACTACCAGATTGAGATGATGCGCTGCCTGCGCGAGGTCAATGTTGACAACAACACTGTGGGGTGGTACCAGTCGTCGTCGTTCGGCACCTACCAAACAACAGAGATGATCGAGACGTTTGTGTCTTACCACGAGAGCATCAAAAAGTGCGTGTGCCTGGTGTACGACCCGCAGCGCAGCGCGCGGGGGCAGCTGGCGCTCAAGGCGGTGCGGCTCAAGGACGCGTTCATCGCCCACTTTAAGGAGCAGAAGCTGACAGGTGGGCAAGGGCGTCGCGAGGGGGTCAGGCAGAAGGGGTTTCACACGTTCAGAGGGGCTGCCTGTTCAAGCGAGCGTTTCCCTGTGGTCGCGTTCGTGGGGGTGAATGATGGGTGCGCCTGAGTTTTCTCCATGCGGCTGGCCAGCGTGTTGCGGCTGCAAATCGGCTTCCTGGCTGTATTGGGGGTGGCAGCTGCCAGCCATCGTTGCTGGGGCGTGACGGAAGTTGGTTGCAGTCCAGACTCTTGTAGTGCGGACAGCTGGTAGCTTGGGTGAACTTGTCAGAGCATGCAGGTGGCGTGGATGGGCCATCGCTTGCACAGATGTCGTTCAAGCGGGCATACTTGTTTCAGTGCCATGAAGCTGTTGAGCAGTGCGGCGCTCCACCCAGACGAGTGCTGCTGGGCCAGGCCTACTACTCTTGGCCCTGCACTCGTGGCCGCCCCGCCCCTCTAGCACCCATCCGTAACAGATTTTGGCACTCTTTCTGCTGCACAAAATCGCACACACATGCATAGCACAACTGTCACACATGTGCACACCCTTTTTGCACACCTAGACCCGCCTTTTCAGACTCAGAACCGTCCACAACCTCACCACACCGCCATTCACAGGCAAGGACCTGCGTGAGGCTGGCATCGGGTGGCGCGACGTCTTCGTGGAGGTGCCCATCCGCATCCACAACAGCAGCCTGGCCCAGGCGCTCGTGGCCGACCTGGACCCGGCGCCGCGCGTGACGGCGCCGGACCTGGAGCGGCTGGACCTCGGCGGCGCGGCGTACCTGACCAAGACGATGGCGCAGCTGATCGAGGGCGTGGACGACGTGCTGTCCGAGGCGCAGAAGGTGTCGCTCTACCACCGCAATCTCTCGCGCCAGCAGCAGCACATGGCGCAGTGGCTGGTCAAGCGGCGCCAGGAGAACGCGGCGCGGCGCGCGGCGGGCGAGGAGCCGCTGCCGGAGGAGGACCCGGCGGCGTTCAAGCCGGTGCCGGAGCCGCCGGTGCTGGAGCAGTACCTGACGGTCAACCAGCTCGCGGCCGGCTGCGAGCGCGCGGCGGCGGCGTGCCAGGCGGGGATGAGCAAGCTGTACGTGATGCAGGCGCTGCAGAAGGCGGGGCAGCAGCGGCAGGCGGCATGAAGGACGCAGGGTGCGCAGGCGTGAGCGGCGGCGGCTTGGCAAGGACCCATGTCGGGCCTGGCAGGTGCCGAGCCCAGGGGCTCTTGGCAAGCTTTACTCAATGGTCTTCACGGTTCTATGTAAATGGCTCCAGATTTCGCACGGGCTTCGCTACAGTATGCTCGCACCTGAAGTGTCAGGCCCTGGGGCGCATCACGACTGATGCCATCGACTTGCAGCAAGGACTGCTTCGAGTTGTGTGCAAAGATGCCAGCCATCTACAGGTGATCTTTGGAAACGCGGCAGTCGTTCTAGTAGCATAGTCTTCTATTTCGATTGCCGCTTTGCCCCTATCTGCAGCCAAACGACGGCGCACACCGAAGTGGCGTGCTTGTAATCGGCCTGCTCGAGCCCAGTGCAGCTGCAGCCTGTCTTACACATACTAAATTGGGTATACTATTTTCCCTACGTAGCGATCTGCTTCAGCGGCGGCCGCGTGTCCAACATTGCACGCCCTCCCCGCGGCTTTGTGGCGCGCGTGCGAGGCCGTCACGCTTGATTGCACGCCAAATCAGCGCACACGTGCGGCTTCTGCTCAGCGACCAGCATGCCGAAGGTGACGCGCAAGGAGACGGCGGCGGCAGCGGCTGCGCCGCTGCAAGAGGTGGCATCCACCTCTGGGATGGACATCGAGGCCGGCGAGGAGGAGTTGCCACCGAAGCCCAGCTTTGGAGCGCTGTCGGCGAAGGACCAAGCAGGAAACAAGGTCGAGTTCCGCCGGGTGAGTGCATGTCGGCAAGTAACTTTCCGTGTCCCCCCTCCTGGGTGCCATCGTGTGCTGTGCTGCCAACGGCATGTGCGCCCTCATGTTGCTTGATGTCCAACAGTTGCAACGGCTGGTCAGCAGCGGCATTATGGCAGCCGTTCGCTCAGCTGGTTGCATCGATGCAACGTCGCGTGGGCAGAATGCCCGGCGTTTGCGACGCAGGCCAGCGTCGCGCAGGCTGCACTGCGGATCGGCGCCAGCCGCCTGAGCGGCTCGCGATCAATACCCGCAGCAAGTATGCACACCCGTAGCTGGCAAAGCTTCGCCTTCCCTGGGTCCTGTATGCTATAATCGTGCCACGCTCGCGCACCCTCAACCCTGCATGTGTCCCCTTGTGCGCTCGCAGATCCCTGTCCCGCAGCACCGCATGACGCCGTTGAAAACAGCCTGGATGCAGCTTTATACGCCCATCACAGAGCACCTCAAACTGGACATGCGCATGAACCTTAAGACCAAAAAGGTGGGACAGCAGTCGATTGACTAAACAGCGTGCCGCTGCTGGCGACCCGCGGCTGCGGTATCGGGCTCTTCACCGTGGCAGAGGGCCCCCGGGTGGCCTGTTTTACCTATGGTATGCCCTGACCTCTGAGGAAGGGTGCCGCTTGTGCTACTGGATGCGCCTTGACCGGCGCTGTCCATGGAGGGCGCCGCAGCCTTGTGGCAAGGTTATGTCGGCTCCCTGATCCCCGGTGCGGTCGGCCGCCCTGCGTGCCGAGCAGGTGGAGATCAAGACCACGACGTCGACGCAGAGCGGGGACATGCTGCAGAAGGCCGCCGACTTTGTGCACGCCTACCTGCTGGGCTTCGAGGTGGGTCCGGCGCAGCGGGGCCTGGGGCAGAGAGTTTTGAGTCGAATGTCGCAGCCGTCAGCCTGCAGGGAAGTGTCAATGGGCTGGCGCCTTGGTAAGCTTCGGTTGCTCCTCCCGCCGCGGCGTGCCTGGGCCCCCTGGTGATAATGCGTCCTCGTCTTGTTGCCAAGCTGTTCCCCGTGGAGCATCACAGCAACGCGCACCCGCTACGCCCTTGAGCTCCGCGGGACAGCCGCCTCAGCTGGCAATGCGCGGTGGCTGCTCACGTCGCAGTGTCCACTGCGTCTCCACCGAATCCTCTCTCCCACAACGCCACAATCAAACACGCTCATACACGCGTGCACGCACACACACACACACACACACACACACACACACACACACACACACACACACACACACACACACACACACACACGCGCGCG